AGTTCCTTAACATGTCGTGAGTAGCATTGGTTTATTGATAAAACTAATTCCCAAGTAAAATAGCTATCAATATGTAATTTTTTATATGTAACATGTAGTGAGTAGCATTGGTTTATTGATAAAACTAATTCCCTAGTAAAATAGCCATCAATATGTAATTTTTTATATGTAACATGTAGTGAGTTGCATTAGTTTATTGAGAAAACTAATTCCCTAGTAAAATNTTATTTTTAGTTTATAAATCACATTATACCAATAATAATGATATGAATGAGAAAAAATCATGTTTATTTGAAATTAGATGCATAGAAACTTCAATTAATTGTTATCATGCAAGTAAAAATGTTATTCCGTCACATATGGAATTGCCCTAATCACATTTATTTTCTGATACCAATAAATAAGTACAGTTAGAAAGACGAACCCATGAATTATGATGTAAAAGAAAAGCCTTCGAGAGTTTCATCCAAAAAAAAAGAACTGTTAAATTTCAAAGGGAAACTACACGACAGTGTTCTCAAATGAATTTTTTTGCAATTGAGTACTTGCAACTTCAGAAGATGAAGACAGCTGAAATCACATGATTGCGTCTAATTTCGTGGTTGTGCATTTCGTGTCAACGTTACAGCTATTAGGTTTAATATCCCGCTGAATTAATTTTCTGATCCGAGTTTTTACCTGCTAGCAACGTCATGCATGTGTATCAGCCTGATTGGCTGCTGAGTAGTTGCATGACTGACACGCGATTAACGCGCTCATGACGTCACATGCAGGTATCCGATTGGAGCGTGGCAGATTTGGTGTCCTTCTCGTAATCTATTTTATCAGCTCAATATTGTGATATCGTAAAACTTTCCTTTTAAAACATTTCGTATCTATCCTATAGATTCGCCTGCTAAAGGTTCCTTAACATGTCGTGAGTAGCATTGGTTTATTGATGAAATTAATTCCCTAGTAAAATAGCCATCAATATGTAATTTTTTCTGTATGTAACATGTAGTAAATAGCATTAGTTTATTGATAAAACTAATTCCCTAGTAAAATAGTCATAAATATGTAATTTTGTATGTGTAACATGTAGTAAGTAGCATTACTTTATTGACAAAACTAATTCCCTAGTAAAATAGCCATCAATATGTAATTTTTTATATGTAACATGTAGTACGTAGCATTAGTTTATTGATAAAACTAATTCCCTAGTAAAATAGCTATCAATATTTAATTTTTTATATGTAACATGTAGTAAGTAGCATTAGTTTATTTATAAAACTAATTCCCTAGTAAAATAGCTATCAATATGTAATTTTTTTTATATGTAACATGTAGTAAGCAGCATTAGTTTATTTATAAAACTAATTCCCTAGTAAAATAGCTATCAATATGTAATTTTTTATATGTAACATGTAGTAAGTAGCCTTGGTTTATTCATAAAACTAATTCCCTAGTAAAATAGCTATCAATGTGTAATTTTTTATATGTAACATGTAGTAAGTAGCCTTAGTTTATTGATAAAACTAATTCCCTAGTAAAATAGCTATTATGTATTTTTTTTTATGTGTAACATGTAGTAAGTTGCATTGGTTTATTGAGAAAACTAATTCCCTAGTAAAATAGTCATCAATATGTAATTTTTTATATGTAGCATGTAGTAAGTTTCATTGGTTTATTGATAAAACCAATTTCCTAGTAAAATAGTCATCAATATGAAATTTTTTATATGTAACATGTAGTAAGTTTCATTGGTTTCTTGATAAAACAAATTCCTTAGTAAAATAGCCATCAATATGTAATGTTTTATATGTAACATGTAGGGAGTTGCATTGGTTTATTGATAAAACTAATTCCTTAGTAAAATAGCCATCAATATGTAATGTTTTATATGTAACATGTAGGGAGTTGCATTGGTTTATTGATAAAACTAATTCCTTAGTAAAATAGCCATCAATATGTAATGTTTTATATGTAACATGTAGGGAGTTGCATTGGTTTATTGATAAAACTAATTCCTTAGTAAAATAGCCATCAATATGTAATGTTTTATATGTAACATGTAGGGAGTTGCATTGGTTTATTGATAAAACTAATTCCTTAGTAAAATAGCCATCAATATGTAATGTTTTATATGTAACATGTAGGGAGTTGCATTGGTTTATTGATAAAACTAATTCCTTAGTAAAATAGCCATCAATATGTAATGTTTTATATGTAACATGTAGGGAGTTGCATTGGTTTATTGATAAAACTAATTCCTTAGTAAAATAGCCATCAATATGTAATGTTTTATATGTAACATGTAGGGAGTTGCATTGGTTTATTGATAAAACTAATTCCTTAGTAAAATAGCCATCAATATGTAATGTTTTATATGTAACATGTAGGGAGTTGCATTGGTTTATTGATAAAACTAATTCCTTAGTAAAATAGCCATCAATATGTAATGTTTTATATGTAACATGCAGGGAGTTGCATTAGTTTTTTGATTAAACTAATTCCCTAGTAAAATAGCCATCAATATGTAATTTTTTATATGTAACATGTAGTAAGTAGCATTAGTTTATTGATAAAACTAATTCCCTCGTAAAATAGCCGTAAATATGTAATTTTTTTCAAAGTCTTAAAAACTGAAAATTTGTTAAGTTTTGCTACTTGAATTATGTATAAAAATATTCATATTAAGTACAACAAATATATTTCTCAACAAAGTATTTTAACATTATTTCTGTAGGTTCAAACGCTGCAAGAAGAGGATTAATAGGTCATAGTAAGTAACTTTACATACTTGATGAAACTGCTTCTTGCTGCTTATATAAATAGCTTCGATATAAACACGCCTACTACAATGGATAGTCCACATTGAACAGCTGACTTGCAGCTTGTGATTGCGACATTATCCACCTCCTCGAGCTGTTGCTACTCAGTCTCGATCGCACACGTCGGCTTGCGTACACTCGACTGCGTATGACAACACAGGGTCGACTACGATCATGAACTTAATACAGCTCTCACGATCAGCACTCAAAAAAGTACGGTGATCTTAATACAGCTCTCCCGGCTTCTCACAAAAACAGCAATGATATAACTAGTGGTATCCGCTCATCGAATTCTATCACAGATATAATTCTGGTGAGGGAGTACTGTAGTGTATCTATCACTACCGAAATACAATTCCTAATCCCTAGTATACAAGACATGTTAGCTCGATTCTATGTTGGGGTATCTTTTCATAGATGAAGGTTGACATTGTCGATATCTACTCTCCCCACATTCTTATTGCTAAGTTGTGTACATTGTATTTTTCCTGTAACGTCATTGATGTAAGACTTTTTTTATAAATTAATTTTTTTTTCTGGAAGAAGTCAAATCAGCTGGTCTTACCTTACTAGTGGGGTAAAATCAAGCACACATGTTATGTTCAGGGGGAATTTAGAAATGCTTGAATTTCAGTGATTAAATAGTAGGTATTTTATAACCATCGTTGAACAGCCGACCCAATTTTGAATTTTCGACTACTGGTGTTCAACTCTGTAGCCTTGTTACTTTGAAAACAATCCAGAAGACACGGGAACTCCTGGATCCAAGTATTGAAAGAAATTTGCCTTCGTGGAGAACTTTCTGATGGAACTAACCCGCATGTGCGTTACATGTATAGGAAGACCGCGAGAACCTCCCACGGTTAGCCTGACGGCAAGAGAACTCTAACCCGTTATCCGTCTACCACTGAGGATATTTCACGTCAGCACTGGTTGATGCAAGCCGAATGCGGAATTCGTATCGACCAGCCATCGCCGGAGTCGAACCTGGTTCACCTCATTGAAAGGTGAACGCTCTATCCCCTGAGCCATCGCGGCTCAGTAGTAGGCATTGCTATTTGATGATGATTTGGGAATATTATGCATGTAATTAATGTATGATATTGTCAAGGCTGTATGGGAGAGACATTGGCAATTGCCCTGGGAACCAATCAAAATTTCTTACATAAATATGAAGCTTATTAGTTAGTACTTTAGAAAAAATTGAAGAGAAATTCTTCATGCGTATATAAAAACTACGATTTTGCATTAAAAGTTTTCAAAAATTCTGAAAAATATGCAAATGAGGTAAGTTTTTTTTGCGCTTTAAAGAAGGCAATAAATGATGTCAGGGGACTCGTGAAACCTTTGTTCAGGCTTTGGTTGTAGTTAAATACTTCCTCTGCTATGCTACAGCTCTTATGGACCAAACATGGACGCACATCAAGAGGGTACCCGGACTTGTTCCGAGAGAAGAGTTTAGTGTAACGAAACAGAACTATTGGACGAAGCCCTTATGGTTTGTTAGGGTATTGTTTGTAACAAGCAGGAATAAAAATGATTTTTATAACTCTAATGACTATTAAATAATGATATCTTAATAATAAGAGAATATTCGAGAGTTGACATAATAACAGAAATGAACAGTGTTTTCATCATTTCTTCTGAGGTTCATGAAAAATATGTTGGTTTTCATAAAAACTCAAGATGCAGATTTCACCAAAAATTTTATTAAGAACAGTAAACATTGCTATTTAGAAGTCTTTAAGTGTCGTAAAGTCTTCTTTTGGGACAGTTCCTGTTGTTGTTGCTCATCTTTCTGGTGTAGAAAAGCTTACTCTATGTCCAAAAGACCCCATAACATGAGAGCATACAAAATGTATGCGACTGGTCCATGGCTAACGGTATTATGCAGCTTCATTATTCAATTGGACAATTCTTCCATTTGTTCTACCTGTGATGATGATTTATTATATTTCACTCCTCTACTACCCCCGTCAAGGTTTAACAAACGAAGCAGCTCATTTTTTCAACATGATTATCTTTATTGGTCCTGTAGAAAGTGAATATTTATTGGGCTAAAAACCAGATGCTACGTTCACTCTAGAAAACCTAAACCGTACTTTTCCTTTGATTTCCATTTATAAAGTTAGAAAAATTCTAAAAAGTGTTGATTGCTTATTTTCTTGTAATTTAGTGTATTGTTTATAGGAACGTTTGGATCAAAAGTGTTGACTGGAGGACATGGTATGTAGTATTATATTTTTTTTTCAAAATATAAGCATTTATTTGTTTTATAACTTTAAATGTATGACTTTTTCGAGTGAAAATAAATGAAAAATATTTTTTTTCTCGGCCTCATTAAATTCGTCATTTAATAGTAAGTTTTATTGTTTTTTTTAATTTTATACTACAAATAAATTATTGTATATTAATCCTTTGCTTGCGTTGTACAGTCCGAAGGAAAAAGATATCACCCTGAAAAACTTTCGTTTCAATGATCAGATTTTCACGTACTAAGTGCCAATCTTAATGGTTTCTGAGGGTGACCTCAAATATGCTGATTGCTTAGTGCTGACTATTAATTAAGTTACGAAATCGGACACAAAAATGTACTTTCTCTAAAAAAACATCTATTTTTTTTACATATTTGGATTTTTAATTTTCAAAATATAAGGGGCAGCTGATCTGAGAAATGTGATCCCCAGAGTTTGGTCAGGAGAGTGATTCAAAGTTTGGATCCCTTAATCATAATTTTACTTTTGGCATTTTTAGTCATATTTTAAAAACTAAATCAAAAAAAAATTGCACTTTCTCATAAAACTCATTTACCAAAGGATAATTTCATGGAGTAAATAATTTTTAAAAATTATTTATTATTTTTTATTATTTAATTAAATTGAGGATGAAAAAATGTTGTTAGATATGAATTTTTTTTATATCATATTAATCTACATATCTTTCGATTGAAAAATCTAAATTTTCAACTATTTTTATTAGTAGAAGCTGAGAAAAATTAAAATTAATTATTTTTCAAAAAATAATTTGGTGGCAATGAAGAAATAATTAAATGGGGCGATTGATATTAAAATGTGATTAACTTAAAAGGAACTTGACTCATATTTTTTGAAACGTTGTTCCATCAATCGAAAAAACATCAAAAACTTTGACCTGGGGTAATACAACTTCATTAAGGAAAGTCAGTAAAATAATATTTTTCATTCTACAATAAAAATAAAAAGTGACGTTTTTTTTCTTCTCTGTTTCACTTCTGTTTTCAAAATGGAGAAAAATTATTAATGAATATAATTGTCAGTTATAAACATTCTCTAAGAGTTGTTTAAGACTCTAATGACACTCAGTGTTAATAATTTGATTTGTAGCTGCTGCTGGAGGATATGGCACAGGACAAGGTCGAGGGCAAGACAGAAGTATAGTAGGTGGCTCATATGGTGAGTAGAATTATATGTATTATTTATGATAACATAGATTTTTACTCGCATTTTAAAGTCATTAAGTACATAGGTGTTACAAGTGAAAATAAATTTCAAAATAATCTATTTAATACATATTTATTGTTTGGTCCCTTGATTGAGAGCTTCAGTATAATCACCTACTACACTGAAGAGCCAAAAAAACTGGTATACCTGCCTAATATCGTGTAGGGGCCCCCGCAAGCACGCAGAAGTGCCGCAACACGACGTGGCATGGATTCGATTAATGCGTGAAGTAGTGCTGGAGATAATTGGCACCATGAATCCTGCATGGCTGTCCATAAACCAGTGGGAGTAAGAGGGGGTGGGGATATCATCTGAACATCACGTTGCAAGGCATCCCAAATGTGTTCAATAATGTTCATGTCTGGAGATTTTGGTGGCCAGCGGAAGTGTCACGCGGTATACTCGTGAAATGGTCGTACGTGAAAATCCAAATTTCATTGCTATCTCGGAGATGCTATGTCCCATCTCCCTTGCGCCGACTATAACACCACGTTCAAACTCACTTAAATCTGTATAACCTGGCATTGTAGCAGCAGTAACTGATCTAAGAAATGTGATAGACACTCGTTGTCTTATATACGCGTTGCCGATAGCAGCGCTGTACTTTGATTTCTTCATACTCATGCCTGTACCAGGTTTTTTGGCTCTTCAGTGTATTTTATTATATTTGGTTTTTTTTTACTCTTTATTCTGTTTATATGATGTAGAAAGACATGGATCTGATGTAGCAGGATATTATGTTAAGCTTTCTATAATATGTTTTATTAATATGTTACATTTTCATGCATACTCTGATGAATAAGATTACATTATTTGTAAAAACGCATAGATATTCTAGTCTGCTTAACAAGGGAAGTACACAGCTGTAAAATTTCCATTGAAACGAAACTAATCTTAAATTAAAGAGCATGGTTGAAAATTTCGTACAGGGAAATATTTGACCACCATTGTTGCCCCTTTGGTAAAATATCATCCATTAAAGTGTAATTTATTTTTAAAATAATAAAACTTTTTAGATCATGTGGATACTGGGCAATAACGGGGAAACTATTAACCTTCTTACTAAGAGATAGGTGTTCAAATCTCAGGTGGGACATTTGATTTGCTCTAGATTTCTGTTCTAAAAGCATTGATAATGAGTATGACACTGCTTAATGGTTGATAAGGAACATTTACATTTTTTGGAATAATTAATAATAGAAAATGAGTATATATTTAGTAGAGAACAATGTGCATTTATTATTATGCAAAATACTTCAGATATCAAGAAATCGAACAATAATGAAATCAAAAATGCAAAAGATGCTCATTGGATGATTTCCAAACACCCATAAGACATTGGTCTTGCCAGAAAAACGCAGAAATGAGAACTGCAATAAGGTGTGTGGTTACCATGGACATTAAAGCATATGTTGCATCTGTTATATATGCTGTCCATTAACATTGATGGAGCTAACCCGCATTTGCGTTACATGGAGAGGAAGACCACGAGAACTTCTCATGGTTAGCCTGACGACAAGGGGACTCTAACCCATGATTCGTCTACCACTGAGGATATTTCACGTCAGCACTGTGGTCGGTGCACGCCGGATGCGGAATTCGTATCGATTGGGATTCGGACCCGGCTCGCCTTATTGGAAGGCGAATGCTCTATCCCCTGAGAATGCTCTATCCCCTGAGCCTAATTAATTTTATTTTATTTTATTTTATTTTATATTATTTTATAACCGTCGTTGAACAGCCGACCCAATTTCATGGGTTTACGACTGCTAACGTTCAACTCCGTAGCCTTGTAATTTTGAACCAATCCAGAAGACAAGTAAACTCCTGGATCAGTACCCCCAGAGGTATTGATTTGTTGTGGGAACATGGAGGACTTTGAGACTCGACAGATTTAACGTGCATCAGTCACCATTTACTACACGGTGTCTTCACTACATTGTGTCTTCGGCCGGTGAGGATCGAACCCACGACCTCTTGGATATGGGCCCAGTGCCCTACCGACCAGGCTATCCCGGCCTTGAGCCTAATTAATTAGCATATTTGAAGCTACCCCCTCTACTTATTAAAATCCTACCATTAGATCAAAAGTTATTCAGAGTGCCTCTTTTATTTTCTTGCGCTCTGTAATAAACTTGCATAAGATAATTCATAAAGATACATAATTTATCTTTTCTTTAAAAATGTTTAGTATTTGATTTGCATTTAAATAATAATCCTTTAAATTAAGTTTGGGATACATAATTGTGAATAGGAAATTTAAAATTTTTGAATCTTGTATGGGTGTATTTGTATTTACAATAAGTATAAGTGATACAATAAGTATAAGTTATATTTAATTATGAAAGATATTTTTCATTTTTTTAGTACCATATTCTGCAGGAAGAGATACAGTAGAATATAGTGAGTAGCGTTACATATTTGTGCAACTGATTAACCTATTTTTGAACTTCAATTTAGATCGATAAAAATGTTTACATTTTATAAGCCATGGAAATAGATATTTTTTCTATTAAAACTTCCCCTACAAAATGTATGCATTTATTTGGTCTTTTATTTTGTTAAAATCAAACTATAGCTGCTGGTAAGTTATATTATGCAGTATTTTTTAAGAAATATTATTTAAAAAATTATTTAAAAAATATGTAATTTTAAAAAATGATTCTATCATTATCATTTCTATTATCATGATTTCGAATGTTATTACTTTATTTAAAATCAGCATCAAGCAAATTGCTATTAGAAATTTTGATTGAAACTGAGTTATTTTATTTTTCTTGCACCAGAAACAATTCGGGTGATTCCGCGATTCCAATATATTTTCCTTTTTAAATCTCTGCAAAATCCAATACTATAGTATACTCCAGGGACACAGTTCGCACAAATACTGAATAACAACACTGTGCAACATCATATTGCATATTAGTTCTGGGTATTTCTTGATTGGCTAGGTCAATTCATGTATTTTTTCTTCTACCACTGGTATTGTGACATCAGAACAAACGTACTAGTTTGTACTTACAGTCATGATTACTGCTTCCCTCATTGATCATATAGACGAAAATCAGCACAAACAATAGTGTTGGTTATCATGACATATAAAATATAAACTAAATGACATATAAACTAAAATGCACAAAGATTTTAAATTATAAATAAAACAAGTTTATTATACTAGGAATCTGAACATTATCTCAGCTTAACGATAATGATACCGTAAATATTTACTTAAGAGGTCTGACAAAATTCTTTTCAGACAGCAAAAGATACACAATCAAATGACGATTTTTGAAGATTAGTTATCACAACAATGACAGCTGTTTCACAATTTAACTCATCCCCCAGAAATTAACAAAAAAATGATGAATAAATTATCTTTATTTTTGCTTTGTCGGAATCCTTCAGAAAACGCGAATAACTCAAAGTAATACCATTTTAGAATACTATAGGATGTTTAGCGTGTAGCATGTTGTTTTCTTAATTAAAGCATTACTGTTTGAAGCATATTTCGATAGTGTGAAATATTTATTTTTTACAAGCTAAGGAAATAGATATTTCACTTATTAAAACTTCTCCGTTAAATGCTATGCATTTATTTGCTATTCAAGCTATACTTATTTTATATTTTATTACTGACTGTTCTATGATATTGCTGCAAGAATTAGTATGATCTTTTTAAATGTTTTCAAAATTTATTGGAAAATATTCCCAATTTAAAAAAATTAGGAACAAGTTTTTTTATTATTAAATGTTTCAAAGTTCCTCTGTTGAAAATTTTTTTTTTCAAGTAAAAATGTAAAATAAGCTATTTTGTAATATAATCATAATTTTTGATCAAATTTTCACAGTTGTTTGTAACCATATTTTTTGTCATTCAGTGATTTTTCTTTAAATTTGTATATAGGATTGCCTGGCACTAAAATATATGGTGGAAGGCAGGGTTTGTAGCATTATATTACTTTTTAAAATAAATATTCATTTAACACCTATTCTAATATTCAATACCTAAGCAAAATTCCTTTTTATCTAAAACATTAACTTTACAATAACTTTTTCACTGAGCGTTAGACATCAGGTTATCTGAAATAATAAATGTATAGGAAAACTATTGAGTCGGTGAGCTTTTCATTCGGAATATAGCTTGAAATACGTGTTTAGAGAAATGGTCACATTTTCAAATGTGTTCTTAAAAAAATTAACATAACTCAAAATGCATGTTTAAAAAAATGAGCAGCTCAATATGCATGTTTAAAAAAATGAAAATCTCAAATTGCATGTTTAAAAAAATGGGGACAACTCAATATGCGTGTTTAAGAAAATAGACAGCTTAAAATTCATGTACAAGAAAATGAACACAGCTGAAAATGCCGGTTTAAGAAAATGGATGCATGTTAAATTCTGCGTTTAAGAAAATAGAGGCAGCAAAAAATACCCTTTTTAATGATTAACCCAAATATAATATAATACAAAACGAGTAATTACGGGCTTACTCTTCCTTATTTATTTAAACACTAAGCATAATCAGTACTGGAAAAAGCCCCGGGTTTCGGAGGGGCTAGGAATAGTACATATGTAATTTTTCAGGTAATGTCTTCGTATTCAGAACGAAAAATGGAGTTTTGAAAATCTAAATTCTCACAATGTAAATTTCCTACCTATATTATAAATTTATTACACCTTTGGCAATTTTGTAAAAAGAAAAGTTTATTTATAGAGTATTTAAAAAAAAGCGACTTATTTAATAACATGTGCTAAATGTTTTTGTAAATCATGTTACGAGTTTACTTGGATAAGTTTATTTTTTTTAGGAACAATGCTTATAAAATAGGTTTTAAAAAGTAATCGAATGCTTTTTCCATTTTTAAGCATGTCCTTTTTTTAAATATGCACATTGAGCTGTATCAATTCCATCAAAAACATATTTCAACTGAGTCCATTTTGTTACACACGTC